CTTCTGATCACTTGCAAAGGCTTATCATCTGACACTCCACTCACACCATTTGTATGATTTTTTGATCTCTCTGCCTATAAATTCTGTGTCTGTGGGCTTCCCTCTCACTTCACCTTACGAAGGGGCTACGCTCCGAAAGCTTGTGATTTCAATTAAACCTGGTGTTGTGTGACTTCTGACTTGGGTCTGGTTGCTCAAGGAATGACTGGTGACAGACAGGAATCACGTGCAGTGTTTGTTAGGCATTCCTGGGAATGTCGACCTCTAAACCTGCAGCAATAATAAATATGCTGGACATTCTTTTTATGGTAAATATCTTTTACGCCAAGCTGATCTATACATTGCAATTCTCCTGGCTGTTAGCCTGATTTTTTTTTCTTTTGGTTTGCTCTAACGCAGCTTCTCTTTGTTGTATCCCTATAGCATCAGTGACCCCTGCTGCATCACCGAAAGGGCCCAGCCCAGCAAGGCAGCTTCCCAGCAACTTGAGACTTCTGCAGAACCCTCTGATTTCAGGCTTTAACCCAGAGGGTATCTATGTATAACTAGATAGTACCTCCCGCTGGCGAAACCATCTACAGTGGCTCCAAGGGATCTTTCTCCCCATTGCTTTTTGCAAGAGTGTGATCGATAAGCACTTTGTGCAATGAGTCTGTCCATCCTGTGTGCCTTGTACAGCGGCTGCCTCTACCCCAAAGGAAAGGAGTCACATAACTACCGAGCCGCTGGTGCTATTGGAGGGTAGGGAGAGACATTTGCGAGTGCAGTGGTCGCTGGACAAAGGACAAGAACGTCTGTGCAAAATGGGTTGCCTTCCAGGGGCATGTTGGTTCAATTTTTGATTCAGCATTGCAAAATATCAAGAGAGGTTAGGGCGGAGATTCGGGAACATCAGACAAGGCACACTGCTGGATCGGTGAATCCACCCGAGGTTTATTTAAAATCTGGCTCGTTTGGTCTCTCCACCTCATGTGAGGAAGTCGCCTAGAATTAAAAGCTTAAAAATTCCTGTCTGTATTCGCAAACTGGACCCGACTTCTTTCTCCCTGAGTTCCCTGAGTGTGCATTACAGAACAAACATTACTGTGATGGTGTCTGGGATGCTTTCATAATCAAGCTTCCTTCTTGTGTAGTCGGTTGGTACCGTGAAACAGCGAGCGAAATGTGTTTCTAAAGAATAAACATCAAAAATGGAAACTTAACCCGAGTTCCAAAATACCAAACATCCAATCTGCTCCACGACATCTAAAAAATTGCTGGGTTTTTGAATCTAAAATTGTTGGGGTTTTGAATGCGAGGCTTGCGTTCTGCATCATTACCTCCTGAGATTTCCTAACGACGACTGATTTCTAGACTTCTGCTGTGATTGTCCTAACACACTTTAGCACTTCTGCCACGACCAGCCCCCAGGAGAAGGTCTGTCTTCAGACAATGGAAATTAGTTTGTGTCAAAATCTCTGCTGTGAACTCTCAGCAAGCAAGCTAGCGCATTAAAGCTGTTGGTTGGAAGCTCAGCTTGTAATGTTTGCAAAGTTCAGTAAACCAGTCAGGTGGCCCACAGGCCGTGCTTATTAACAAACATTGATACACACAACGAAAAGGAATGTATATTTGATGTATTTCAGTGGATCTCAAGCAGGATGGGGCTCCCTAACTTGGGGATTTATTGAGACAAAGGAGATTTGCCTGATTCCAGCTGTATTATGTATAATAAACAAAATGTTAAGATGGTATTTTTGGCTACACTTCAGTATATATTGGTATGTACAATTAATATAAGAATCTGTTTAATGATGTTGCCTTTATATTATGCGAAGTGATCAAAACGGATAAATGCACAGACTGAACACGTGAGCTTCTTTCACTGTTTGGAAGGACAATGCCTTGGCTGTCAAAACAATCATTTCTGTAAATCCTATTTATTACGTACTGTTGCTCTGAATTATTCAAAAGGCTCATGTCACACTATATAGTTTCAATGGCAAGCATGCAACTCCTGCTAAATCAATGCAAAGTGTTAATATTTCAGTATTATGAAGTGCAATGAAATGTACTGTAAAATGATTTTTATCACATTTTCTTGTTTCACCGCTTTGTTGTAACATTTTACATTTTAAGTTGCCTCGTGCTGATATTCTGCTAATGTGAAAGGCAGAGAAGAATAAAGTTCATGCCAATCGGTTGATGATGGAGTGTGTAGATCTATATAACTTGTATTAAGTGTCATCCATACCTTAAATCTGCAGCTCAGTGTTAAACCGACACATTCCCCCCCCCACACCCCCGAATATTGCATGTTTTCTAATTGGTTGAAGATACCATTCAGCACATTGATCTGCTCCAATGAAAGGTATCAGTAACCATCACAACCAGATCTTATAGAAACATATAAAATTATGAAGGGAATGGATAATATAGGAGCAGGGAGGTTGTTTCCACTGGTGGGTAAAACTTGAAAATCAAGGGACGGTGATTAGATTGTCTCTTATTGGAGATGGTCACTGCCTGGCACTTGTTGAGGGCAAGTGTTACTTGACACTTGTCAGCCCAAGCCTGGATCTTGTTGCATTTGTTCATGAGCTGCTTTGGTATCTGAGGAGTTGCGAATGGTGCTGAACATTGTGCGAACATCCCCACTTCTGACGTTATGATGGGGGGGCAAGGTCATTGATGAAGCAGCTGAAGATGGTTGGGCCTAGGACACTTATTTAAGATTAAATTCAGATAAGTTTTGTGCGTGTTCATAATGTTGGCATAGCCTCAAAATAAGGGGGAGCAGATTTAGTTCTGAGTTGAGGAGGAACTTCACCCAAAGGGTTGTGAATCTGTGGAATTCCCTGCCCAGTGAAACAGTTGAGGCTTCCTCATTGAATGTTTTTAAGGCAAAGATAGACAGATTTTTGAACAGTATGGATGATAGTGAGCGGGCAGGTAAGTGGACCTGACTCCTCAAAAAGATCAGCCATGATCTTATTAAAAGGTACAGCAGGCTCAACAGGCCAGATGGTTACTTCTGCTCCTATTTCTTATGTTCTTATGCAACAGAGGGACCTGTTAAGATACATTGGCAGATTAGCCATCCAAATGTTTCAGTGGTTTCTGGACTAATAATTCAGAGAACCAAGTCTCCACCATGGCTGATTGAGAATTTACCTTTGGATTTTAAGAGAGAAGTTGGATCCAAGACACTAAAATTTAACCATGAGTGATCTGTTGGACTGGCATAAAAATATTTCTGATACCATAAATTTACTCAAGGAAGGAAGGTTGCCATCTTTCTCCATTTGGCCAAAGTGTGACTTTTGGCAAGGAACTAATGTGGTTGACTCTGAAGTGGTCTAGCAAGTCGCTCAGATAGAATAGCTAGTGATGAATCAATAAAAGTCAGTCTTGCTAGCAAGAATGTCTGCATCCCAAAAATGAGTCTCCTTTTTACTAAACTGCATTGAACCAATTACTTCACACTCAATTATTCCTTAAAGCAAGCTACTATTTAATAGTCAAGTTTAAGTCTTTTTTTTAAACTGGTGAGCATCAGTTGCCATCTTGCACTCTGACTCTTTTAATGCAAGCATAAGCAACATCATAAACACGCACAAAACTTATCTGGATTTAATCTTAAATAAGTATCCTAGGCCCAACCATCTTCAGCTGCTTCATCAATGACCTTCCCCCCCATCATAAGGTCAGAAGTGGGGATGTTCGCTGATGATTGCACAATGTTCAGCACCATTCACAACTCCTCAGATACTGAAACAGCCCATGAACAAATGCAACAAGATCCAGGCTTGGGCTGATAAGTGTCAATTAACACTTGCACTCAACAAGTGCCAGGCAGTGACCATCTCCAATAAGAGACAATCTAATCACCGTCCCTTGATTTTCAATGGCATTACCACCACTGAATCCGTCACCGTCAATATCGTGGGATAACCATTGACCGGAAACTCACTTGGACTCCCAATACAAATACAACAGCGGGTCAGAAGTTAGGAATACTGCGGCGAGTAACTCACCTCCTGACTCCCCGAAGCCTGTCCATCATCAACAAGGCACAAGTCAGGAGTGTGACGGAATACTCCCATTTGCCTGGATGGGTGCAGCTCCAACAAAAGCTTGATATGATCCAGGATAAAGTAGCTGCTTGATTGGCACCACATCCACAAGCGTTCACTCGCTCCACCATCAATGCTCAGTCACAACGGTGTATATTATCTCTTTCTAATTGATTGACAGGATTAGGGCATCACTGGCTAGGTGAGCATTTATTGTCCAGGATGCACTGCATTTAGACAGCGCCTTCCAATCTCTTAGACACTTCCACCCAGAAGGACAAGGGCAGCAGATGCATGGGAACACCACCCCCTGCAAGTTTCCCTCCAAGTCACTCACCATCCTGACTTAGAAATATATCACCGTTTGCTCACTGTCCCTGGGTGAAAATCCTGGAACACCCTTCCTAAGGGCATTATGGGTGTGTTGCGCCTCCTGGACTGCACTTTTTGATAGGCAATAACAGGGCACCCACATCCTGTGAATTGATAAATTGACAAAAGGAAAGCAGTCCGATAATCATGCTTATGCTACCTCCTTGCACAAAGTGTCCAATTAAGCTCACTCCCCCTTGCTTTTTCTCCTAATCCTGAAAGTTTTATCTTTTCAAATACATATCCAATTTCCTTTTGGAAATTGCTGTTCAATTTGCTTCCACTATCATTTCAGGCAGTGCATTCCAGACTGTATAAATCATCTGTCTCACATAAGCTTATACCATAGATCATTCTGCTTACTAACACTAGCTTGTGACCTATAATGACTGTAGATGATTGGTATTATTCTGTTGTTTAATGGGCTGGGCTGCTTTTCGGCTAAAAACACAAGGATTCAGGTAAACACTGACATTGACACAGTATGCCAGAAAGCAGTGCGTTTGTGACTCTGTGAATACAGAACCATCATTGCTCACCTCCAAGAAATATAAAAACGTTACATCAGAAGGAAGCACAAAGGAAGAAAGAGCGAAATGAATTAAAATTGGGTGTTAAGTCTCACTGCAAGTATGCAATACCTTTCATAAGCATGCTCATGGTGTCATCAACCTATTGTAGCGTGTGATCTGATAGGAGGAATGCCTCAATCTCCATCTTACTCAGCCCTCTTACAGCATGAAGTTGTGGGTGGTACAGGCAGGATGGTGGCTTAGTGATTAGCACTAGCGCCTCACAGCGCCAGGGACCCAGATTCAATCCCAGCCTGGGGCGACAGTGTGGAGTTTGTGCATTCTCCCTGTGTCTGTGTGGGTGTCCTCTGGGTGCTGTGGTTTCCTTCTGCAGTCTAAAGATGTACCAGTTAGGTGGATTGGCCAGGGGAAAATACAGGGATGAGGATAGGGTGGGGGGCTGGATCTGGGTGGGATGCTCTTCAGAGGGTTGGCCCAGACCTGATGGGCTGAATGGCCTCTTTCTGCACTATAATGATCCTAAACATGCTTCAATTTACATACTAATTGCTTAGCTTGAGCCCAAACACATACAGCTAAATATTATGGGTTCTTTATCTAATTGTGAGTTGCGCAAGTTTTTCTGGAGTGTTTCCACCATGCCTTACCAAACTCGCCTCATTAACTACCTACTGTGGCTCTGTAGAATCATAGAATCCCTACAGTGTGGAAGCAGGTCATTTCAGCCCAGCGAGTCTACACTGACCCTTTCAAGAGCATCCCACCCATACCTGCACCCCCTACTCTACCACTGTAACCCTGCATTTCCCATGGCTAACCCACCTAGCCTGCACATCCCTGGACACTATGGGTAATTTAGCATGGCCAATCCACCTAACCTGCACATCTTTGGCCTGTTGGAGGAAATCAAAGCACCTGGAGGAAACCCGCACAGGCACAGGGAGAATGTGCAAACTCCACACAGACAGTCGCCCAAGGCTAGAACTGAACCCGTGTCCTGAGTGCCATGAGGCAGCAATGCTAACCACTGCACCACTGCGCCACCCCAAAGGCAGGGCAATGGTGGGGGTCAGGAAACTGGGAACCTGGCACACGCTGCGGGTGCCCCATCCTCACAGGGGACAGGGCAGTGCCAGGAGGAACCACACAGAGTCCTCTCCTGTAGGAACAAAAACAGAAGTTGCTGGAAAAGCTCAGCAGGTCTGGCAGCATCTGTAGAGAGAAATCAGAGTTGACTTTTTGGGGTCCAGTGACTGTTCCTCAGAACCTCTCCTGTCAGGACAGGCCAGAAGTGGCTACACCCAACCCTGAGGAGGCTCCCCTCTCTGTATGACTCGCAGGCCCTGGGCATGTCAGGCTGGTCTGGGTACCAGGTCTCCCAGTGAGCTCTCCAGCTGGTAAACAGGCTCCTTGCTGAGACCAAGTGGCAGAGACAGGAGAAAGAAGTCCTACTGAAGGCACTTTGGTGGCACGGGTCAATTTGGAATGTAAGTGAGAGCTCTCGCTGTTATCCAAGTCAGAGATTTTACAGCCCAACTACATGTTTGAGTCTCTGTGTAGCCCTGACTATAACGGTGGCATTTCCTCTCCATTGAACATTTTCAATTTGCAGCATGATATGGTGGTTAGGTGCATTAACCATGGTAAATGCAAGCTTATGGCAATGAGGTAAGGAGTTGGGACTGGGTCTCGGTTGGATGCTGATTGGAGGGTCTGTTCGGACCTGATGGGCTGAATAGCCTCTTTCTGCACTGTAGGGATTCAAGCCTGATGAAAGCCTGAAGCTCCTACCCTCTCCCTCTACATGTCAGTGAGTCCCTGCAGGTCCAGATCCTCTTCCTGTGCCCCCACAGGCTTCACAACTCACCCACCCATTTACCTGAGCCCACCTTTACCCACCTCCCCCAAACTCCTGGCCTATGAGGTGACCATGCCAAGTGTGGTCATACAGTGACCGCCCGTTGAGGCCTAGGGTGCTCCTGACTGCGGACAAACACTCCTCCTTCATTTCCCCTTCCCTAGCTGTCCCTCACCACGTCCCCCCTTACAAATACAGCTGCCCCCTTTACAATTGTCATCTCTCCTCCAAACCCCACCCCCAAACCCAGAATTGGTTTGTGATCCTCCTTCCCACCGTGGCAAATCATCTTCAACCTCCTCCATCCCCTTACCCCTTCATTTCAGTGACAGACTGACTGTGACCCCCATTCCCCCTCCCCAAGC